AAACTTGTGTTTTTCCAAAGTGATGAAGCTTTTGCATCTCATTGTACTAACTTAAATTGCATATCACGGCAGACATCTCAAAATACATAGTCTTCTGGGGGCTAAGCATATATTAATACATTTTGGTAGAGAGGAATATAGGACTACTGTCATATAGGTTATGTTATCGGGCATCCTTCTAATTCCCTTGCACAACCAAGATTGAACTTTTGAACTCTTTGTAATTTCTATTATCTAGTCCAGTTAAAGTCCAGGGGAGGAAGCCCCATCATAGTAAAGAGGATACTAATGTGATGTGTGTAGTTCTTCATAGCCTCTTCATTTTGCTCTCAAAGTGCACGGAATTGATGGATTTTTAACAGAATGTAGAAAAAAATTCTCCCGGGGATGCATGCCCCCGGACCCCCCTAAAGGGGCTGTGTTCCCCTTGGGGCTAAGCCCCCCTTGTTCTTGAAACCTAGTGACGCCCCTGGTAAAAAGTAATGCTTGCTCAAAAAATACAGTAGCATGCATGCATTCTAAGGCATGTTTTTAAAAAGACAGCGGTAGCAAAACTGAGTTTGGTTGTACTTGACCGAAGTATTTAACAATGTACTCAAGTTATTTTTTGATCATCCCTCATCAACAAATCCATCAAAGTCCTCATCCTCTGAAACGAATAGCTGGGCAAGTTCTCAATCAAACATGGCAGGTTCTCTCGCATCGTTGTTAGAGTTAGTCTCATTGCCATGTGATGCCGGCTTTTGCGAAAGCACGAGCAATAGTGCAAGCAGACACCTAAGCCGAATTCTTTCACAAATTGTGGCGTGACTTGCCCCGGTGCTGCCTCCCAGTCTTAGTAAAGCTGTGTTCACCATCACGCCCACGCCGCTCGCAACTTTACCTTGACGCTGGCTGGAAACGTTTCTTTTTCTGCTTAAAAACCACCATAGGTGGCTGTTTTTGTCCATTACCATGGCAACCAAACACAACGATAAAAGCCGACCTCTTGCGCCCCGTTGTGCGGGCCGGCAGAGCGTCCAAATAAAGGATTAAAATCTCCAAGAAAGCGTCTTTACTTAATGTAACGCAGAACATTACACTTTTTTACTGCAGTGGGAGCGAAAGATAGCCAGCTCTTCCTTGTCATCCGCCAGATGTTGCTGCGCCACGGTCGTACTTGCCCTGATGGATACATGGAGCCGTTTCATAAAACAAAACCACTGAGCACCATGGATTAGTTGATCTTGAATTCTCTCACGGCTGCTTGACTCCCATGGTCCTCCACGTAACTGACAGCTTGCAGTTTAAACTGTGCCTCATAAGCGTGTCTCTTCGTAGGTACAATTTTCAGGATCTTGTTTTGCACAATGCACGTACTGCACTATATACTACACACACCTCCTGGTGGCGTGCCTTTAACATTCTCTTTCACGCCCACCCATCCCACTTTAACGTCCACATGCTGTTCTTAGTTATGTCCACCTTTCCTCTCTCTATAAGCAGCATGTCAGCACAACATCAGTCAGTCAAGTGGACCCCTCATGGAAATCACACAATAGCGTTCACAGATTTTGGAGCTTGGTCCATACACAAGGCGACCCCGCATTATTAGGCGCCCTGTTCATTTTGGAGAAAATGTAAGACTTCTAAGTGTGTCGTATGGTCGTGAAAATATGTTATGTTTCCATTGTCAAACATACAGAAAATTGGTCAAAATGTTTAGACTCCTCTCCATACGATTCCCACACACTGTTTTCATAACTCGGGTGACCTTGCGTAGTATATATTTGCCTATTTGCTGGAAATTTCTCTACTGCTCCCCCCCTCAGACAAGGTGGAAAACCACATTTGTGCTATGATGTGAATGCTTTGTGGTCAGCTGCAAACAGATAACCCTGATTAGTCCATACACAAGGCGACCCCGCATTATTAGGCGTCCTGTTCATTTTGGAGAAAATGTAAGACTTCTAAGTGTGTCGTATGGTCATGAAAATATGTTATGTTTCCATTGTGAAACATACAGAAAATTGGTCAAAATGTTTAGACTCCTGTCCATACGATTCCCACACACTGTTTTCATAACTCGGGTGACCTTGCGTAGTATATATTTGCCTATTTGCTGGAAATTTCTCTACTGCTCCCCCCCTCAGACAAGGTGGAAAACCACATTTGTGCTATGATGTGAATGCTTTGTGGTCAGCTGCAAACAGATAACCCTGATTAACCATTGTACTTTGGATAATGTGTTTAGCCTTTGATGAGATCAAACCTCAGCCGGTGACTTAAATTACCACTTAGAACGTACAACTTCAATCACATCAGGAGAATCCAATAAAGTAACCATTGATTATTTTATCCACTCTGCTGCATTTGATATTTAGATGTCCACACAAAAGGGTTGCCCCACCTCCAACTCACAGGCCATTTTTAAAGGTGATCCTTCAACATTTAAATGGCACTTAGATTTGATTCTTTAAAATGCAAATTTGGGGCGGAATTCAATGTTTCCATTTGACTGTTTGGATTAGAATTACATGGTTTTTAGCTGAAAATAGAGTAGAATGTTTTTTTTTGGGCAACAGCATGTTGATAATGCAAATGTGAAAATCCATCCATCCATCCAGTGCAGATGAGCATCGTGCCCAGTGCACCGAAATTCATAACATTTTCTTTTGGCTGATTCTCATGTTATTGTGTTTATAAATGTATGTTATTCAATCAGGTCAATGTACATGCCGAAAGCACCGTCTCGTTGAGAACACTCTGATGTCTTTGTTTCAAATGTGCAACATTTAACCTCTTTATTATTGACTGTGTGGACAGGTTTTCAACATTTCTTCGTATCTGTGGCCTTGCACCTCCTCTTGTTTGTGCTTGCGTGTGCCAATCATGCTGTTGACTAATCTCACTAACAGGTATTTCTTTGTTGTTGCTGTTTGCCTTTTGCTACTGCAGTCTCCAACCAAGTGGTACATGAAGCTTGTGCCTGTAAGTCAACCCATCAATGCTAATCCCTTCTTTCATTGTACAATTCATGACCATCACTACTGCCACCTTGAGCTTTTGTTGCTGTAGTTTTACACCGCAGGAAAATAAACCAGGAGCGGGAGCAAGCCCACTTAGCATACAGTATATTTGATTTTCAGCCTTGAGCCCACAACACCCCAAAACATTTATAGTGGCTTTTTTTTAAGTTTGAAAAATTTGTATGAGAAAGTATTTGAATAATATAATCAATGAAAATGGTTATCATCACCAGTCAAGTACCACAAACTCACAAAATAACTAATTTCTCCCAAAATGATTGTGTCCGTCTGGTAGCACTTGGCAAGAAATGAATGTCCTTGTAGGCTTTCCTCAGGCTACACTCTCTCCCAAAACACAACTGAGATATTTATATTACATTTTTTTTCTTATTGCATTCCATTCTCCACATTGATATGCCCATTCTCTATCATTATTAAAATATAGATTCATAACTCATACTAAAAAAAAACAAAAACAACAACAAAATTGGCAAGTGAATGACACTTCCCTTCAAATTGCTACCTACAATTGCATTTTCCCTGAAGTGAAACATTTGAGCGGATTCTCCAAAAGCAAAAATGAGATACCTGTGCCTGCAGGGCCATGTAATGTGCAAAATATTCTCTCACTTTGACTCATGTTTATGCTGTTTAGGCCCGCTACAGGAAGGAGCAGAGCAGCAGCCAGGTGATGCCCTGGATCCCCCCAGTGGACAACCTGCTGAAGGACAGCATAGATGGATCGGCTCTGGGTGCTCTGCTGCACTTCTACTGCCCCGAGCTTCTGCCTCTCGATGGTAAGAGTTGTCCTGTGGCATAATGATACTCATTCAGACACACATAATTAAGGCCAAAATCCCACTCCCAAAAGTTACAAATGTCTTTATCAAGTGTTTTTTTGTGTATTTTCCACACTTTTCACGCCCACCCATCCCACTTTAACGTCCACATGCTGTTCTTAGTTATGTCCACCTTTCCTCTCTCTATAAGCAGCATGTCAGCACAACATCAGTCAGTCAAGTGGACCCCTCATGGAAATCACACAATAGCGTTCACAGATTTTGGAGCTTGGTCCATACACAAGGCGACCCCGCATTATTAGGCGCCCTGTTCATCTTTCACGCCCACCCATCCCACTTTAACGTCCACATGCTGTTCTTAGTTATGTCCACCTTTCCTCTCTCTATAAGCAGCATGTCAGCACAACATCAGTCAGTCAAGTGGACCCCTCATGGAAATCACACAATAGCGTTCACAGATTTTGGAGCTTGGTCCATACACAAGGCGACCCCGCATTATTAGGCGTCCTGTTCATTTTGGAGAAAATGTAAGACTTCTAAGTGTGTCGTATGGTCATGAAAATATGTTATGTTTCCATTGTGAAACATACAGAAAATTGGTCAAAATGTTTAGACTCCTGTCCATACGATTCCCACACACTGTTTTCATAACTCGGGTAACCTTGCGTAGTATATTTGCCTATTTGCTGGAAATTTTTGTACTGTTTTTTGGGTTTTTTTCCTAAGACAAGGTGGAACACCACGTTTGTGCTGCAATGTGAACGCTTTGTGGTCAGCTGCAAACAGATAACCCTGATTAACCATTGTACTTTGGATAATGTGTTTAGCCTTTGATGAGATCAAACCTCAGCCGGTGACTTAAATTACCACTTAGAACGTACAACTTCAATCACATCAGGAGAATCCAATAAAGTAACCATTGATTATTTTATCCACTCTGCTGCATTTGATATTTAGATGTCCACACAAAAGGGTTGCCCCACCTCCAACTCACAGGCCATTTTTAAAGGTGATCCTTCAACATTTAAATGGCACTTAGATTTGATTCTTTAAAATGCAAATTTGGGGCGGAATTCAATGTTTCCATTTGACTGTTTGGATTAGAATTACATGGTTTTTAGCTGAAAATAGAGTAGAATGTTTTTTTTTGGGCAACGGCATGTTGATAATGCAAATGTGAAAATCCATCCATCCATCCAGTGCAGTTGAGCATCGTGCCCAGTGCACTGAAATTCATAACATTTATTTTCTTTTGGCTGATTCTCATGTTATTGTGTTTAATGAGCATCGTGCCCAGTGCACCGAAATTCATAACATTTTCTTTTGGCTGATTCTCATGTTATTGTGTTTATAAATGTATGTTATTCAATCAGGTCAATGTACATGCCGAAAGCACCGTCTCGTTGAACACTCTGCCATGTCTTTGTTTCAAATGTGCAACATTTAACCTCTTTATTATTGACTGTGTGGACAGGTTCTTAACATTTCTTCGTATCTGTGGCCTTGCACCTCCTCTTGTTTGTGCTTGCGTGTGCCAATCATGCTGTTGACTAATCTCACTAACAGGTATTTCTTTGTTGTTGCTGTTTGCCTTTTGCTACTGCAGTCTCCAACCAAGTGGTACATGAAGCTTGTGCCTGTAAGTCAACCCATCAATGCTAATCCCTACTTTCATTGTACAATTCATGACCATCACTACTGCCACCTTGAGCTTTTGTTACTGTAGTTTTACACCGCAGGAAAATAAACCAGGAGCGGGAGCAAGCCCACTTAGCATACAGTATATTTGATTTTCAGCCTTGAGCCCACAACACCCCAAAACATTTATAGTGGCTTTTTTTTAAGTTTGAAAAATTTGTATGAGAAAGTATTTGAATAATATAATCAATGAAAATGGTTATCATCACCAGTCAAGTACCACAAACTCACAAAAAAACTCATTTCTCCCAAAATTATTGTGTCCGTCTGGTAGCACTTGGCAAGAAATGAATGTCCTTGTAGGCTTTCCTCAGGCTACACTCTCTCCCAAAACACAACTGAGATATTTATATTACATTTTTTTTCTTATTGCATTCCATTCTCCACATTGATATGCCCATTCTCTATCATTATTAAAATATAGATTCATAACTCATACTAAAAAAAAACAAAAACAACAACAAAATTGGCAAGTGAATGACACTTCCCTTCAAATTGCTACCTACAATTGCATTTTCCCTGAAGTGAAACATTTGAGCGGATTCTCCAAAAGCAAAAATGAGATACCTGTGCCTGCAGGGCCATGTAATGTGCAAAATATTCTCTCACTTTGACTCATGTTTATGCTGTTTAGGCCCGCTACAGGAAGGAGCAGAGCAGCAGCCAGGTGATGCCCTGGATCCCCCCAGTGGACAACCTGCTGAAGGACAGCATAGATGGATCGGCTCTGGGTGCTCTGCTGCACTTCTACTGCCCCGAGCTTCTGCCTCTCGATGGTAAGAGTTGTCCTGTGGCATAATGACACTCATTCAGGCACACATAATTCAGGCCAAAATCCCACTCCCAAAAGTTACAAATGTCTTTATCAAGTGTTTTTTTGTGTATTTTCCACACTTGATTTGGCTCACATGATTAATCTAATGAAAGCCAGTTCAGAAGTTGTATTAAAAAATATATATATTTTCCATCATTTGCATTTGGGACAAATCGTTGCTGGCCTGTGAAAAACACATACTGTATGTCCATTTTTTGTCATTTTTTAAAATATTTTTACATTCACAGGGTGTCTGCGTTTCAGTCATCCCAGTAATGAAAATAAATGACAAATCACAAAAATGGACATACCTGTTTTTGTCATTTTTTAAATATTTTTACATTCACAGGGTGTCTGTGTTTCAGTCATCCCATTAATGAAAAAAATGACAAATCACAAAAATGGACATACCTGTTTTTCACAGCACAGTGACAAAGTTGTGTTTGTTCAGTCTACATAGTGTTTTGTGATTGGGAGTTCATTTAGCAGTGGCAGCAATATTAAATTCGACAAAAATGAATGACAATAAACATATGTAATGCTTGGCTCAGGATTCAAACAGCAATTTCCCACTGACCTTGTCAAATGAGGCAAACTTTCCTGTTGTACACAACAGAATGTAAAGCTACAAAATCACATCATCAGCTCTTAAGCTTGTTTAAGTCTGATTATGTGTGACGACGGCTTCACCAACGGGCACATTTACACAGAAAGACAAAAGATCAATCAGTCTACATTGTTTTCTTTTCTTTCTCCGCCCACTTAATCATTGATCATTCAGTCTTCATTCACCAACATTTAAATAGCCTTCCATTTCCCAAGCCGAGGAAACCAGAACACTCCATTAGTGATCCCATTCAACATTGCATACTCACCGAAGAGAATCTAAGCAAAAGCAGGCTGATGGCTCCCTCTGCGTTCCCAGATGTGTGTCTGAAGCAGAACATGACACTGGCGGATCGTCTCTACAACATGCAGCTCATTCAGAACTTCTGTCGAGACAACCTGGAAGGCTGCTGCCACTTCAGTTTGGAGGATATGCTCTATGCCTCGTCCACCCTCAAGGTACTCCTCAGCAAAAAAGAAACAAAAGCAAAAAAAAAAAAAAAAAAAAAACCCCAACCAACACTCATAACAACTAAATATGTTTTTTGTTAGTTTGGGGACATCTTCACATATTTTCATTGTTATTGTTGTTGCTGCTGCTGCTGCTGAGGCTGTGCTCTTTGCTAAACAAATTTCTTTCCTATTACTGATACAAAGCAGAAGTGTTGCAAACATTCTTTGGAGGGTATTTTGTAGAAAGTAGCAAAACTATGCAAGTCTTACACCGCTTTTAGCCATTCACCAATCATTTATTGTGATCGTAATATTTTATATTAATCTATAATAACAATGTCACTCAAATGGCGCTCTCACTCTCCTCCATCAGGTTTTGTGCAATTTTCTGATTTGAATATGTATTTATTTGCTTTATTGATTTACCATTGACTGTTTATGTGTCAATCTGACCACTGTGAAAGGGTCAAGCGAGTGGTGACCCAAGACTTTTTTTTCAAAGTACTGTACTGTAGCAGTTCAAACTAGATCCTGCTCAACAAATCAGTGTCTGTTTTCTGGTATGTTATAGAAAGATTAGAAAAGCAGATGGTGTGGTCCTCTCCCAAGACAGATGAAATGATCGCTTCTGAGTCAGTCCTTGGAAAAAGACATTTTAATCCAAATTTGTCTTCATCAAGTCTTTCATTCTTTGTCTTTTCATTTCCATTTTCCTTTTCCTCTCTTTTGCCTGTGATAATTTTGAGATTGCATTTTTTTGCCACAAATAAGAATGCACTCGTTCTTGATCTCAAACTCTGCCTGAAACACAGTACCATGCCATTTAAAAAAAAAAAAGTGAAATTCGACTTTGCCATTGTCTGACACAGCAGTTTGTCTCAGCACAAACACAAACTGGTCCACTTTGAAATACACGTTTGAGTGTCTGCTTCCAAGCCACTTGATTACCGTTACGTGATTATTAAATGGCATGAGGAAGAAAAATCTATACAAAATAATTGACTGTACTATATTTAGCGTGTAGTGCGTTGAAAGTATTTTTATACAAGGGCATGCGTGACCGTCACATAGAGAAGCATTCATTTCAAAACGAAATAGCTCATACATCAATTCACACCCATCCTACCTTAAAACAAATTGAATTATGTTAACGGGAGAATTTCAGCGTTTTGTTGGCACAGATCACACGAGAGAGAAAGAAATCCCAGCAGGGCATGGCCAAACTGCAGAGAGGCCCATTAAATTCGGCAACCTTGACCCAGTTTTCCCTGCAGTCACACCCGCAGTAGCAGTGCGTCACGGACTTTATTGGAGAGATACAGAGTCGAGACATGTTGTTGATATGGAGGAGAAGGTTTACAGGAGTGATATTATCCAAATAGTGTTTGAAATAAGAGGACATGCAGTATAGAGCAGATGAACAACAATTACCTGTACTCAAAATAGACACTTAAAAGCATTATTGTGAGCAAATAACATTTCATCTGACTTATGACATGAGTATTCATTCATGACTGATGAATTGAATTGAAGTGAATTTTCCTTTCATGTAATGCAAACAAAAATGGCAAAGAAGAAACAATGAATCTGCATTTTATCATGAAAGTGGTGGACTTGTGTCAGAAAAGGTCCAGTACTGCTGTCGTGAAAGATACAGTAGAATGTATATGAAATCCAAACTATCCTCTGCGGTTCTGTCGCCATCTTGATGTTGTCCACGTCTTCAAAACGGGTCCTCTTGATGACCCTCGTTGAGCTTGGGAGAGAGGGAAAAAGAAAAAAATCACACAGAGGCCAATCGGGTCGAGTAGGGAGGTTGCTCCAGCATGTTAATGTTCTCCTCTACCAGAAGCTGTCGGATTCTTTACGCATTCTGAGCAGGTGCGTTTTCACTTTTCAGAACTGATTGTCCGGATTTGAAATACTATACTTTTGTGACAGCAGTCTTGGAAATTTTCTGACACACATTTATCAAGCTGCAAATACTAAATAAAGAACATTTCCTGTGTTCTTAGTGCATTTTGCCTCAGATGTTTAACAATAAACCAGACATTACCAAGTCAGTTGAAAGGTAAAATGATATTCGCACACATTTTTATTAATTTCTCATGGACACCAGGCTACACCGCTCATGTACCTTCTGGAAAAAGAGAAATTGTAGCCGTCACTGCTGGGCTTTGCTCAGTTTGTTCTCACTTCAAATGAGGAGGACTTGTCTTAGAAATTACCACACTACTCCTACGGGAGGGGCCAGCAGGAGCTCAGTCTGTAGTTTATTGATTTGGAAGGTTTGAATTCTGATCGTGATAACAGACACTTTTCTTATTCATGCTTGCTACCTTTTCCTAAATTAAGTTAACTGGTGAGATCATTCCTTCGACATGCTTGTGGCTTTTAGAAATATTAATCATCAAGTAATTTTTGGCATGAAATCACAAGGTAAGCAGGCAGATTAGAGTGACTGCCTACTCCGTGGCTGCGAGACCTTGATCCTTTAATGAACCATTCAGCCCAATGATTGTTGACAGTAATTCCCCGTCAATGCTCAGTGTGTGTTTTCCTGTGAGAGACACCTCCTCTGTGAATTTTTCTTTAGCATAAAGCATGCATGCCATCTCATCGTGACAGCCCAAGTGTGATAGTATAACCCCTAACAAATCCGCTCATCCTTATACAATCCCAGCAACAGCACACTCGAGCAAAATTGTCCACCCAACTAGATCTGGCAACAAGGCAAACCTGGTAGCACACAAGGCTGCCATGACAGTCAATGGGGAGATTTGTGCGTGAGTCGCTCCCGTGTATGTGCGTTTGTGTCTGTGAGTGCTGACTGATGGAATTACACGATAGCACTCACACCTGTTTTGTCGGTCGTCGTCAGACAGACAGATGGGACGAGAAGAGTCACTGTTGGGTTATTGCCACCAATCTGAACCAGGCAGCTCGCATGAGATGTTTCTTGATTTTGTTTGTTTATTTATTTATGTATTTATTTTTGTCTCCTGGTCACTGTAAAACAAGAGGAATACTGAGTACCCTCAAAGGTACAGTGCACTTGGGTGTCTGCCTGATCTTTCTTTGTAATTTTATGCATGGGTATAGGTAGCTGTATGTCCTCCCAAATAGTAATAGAAGGCAAGTTGAAAGCAAGTGTGTCAAAGTTTGGGAGCAAACTGGTCTGCTTCTTTTTTGTCTGATTCCTTACCTAAATGTGGTTAAATATTCAGATGTTCACCAACTGGCGTTATTGTGGCTCCAGTCCTGCACTATCTGGTGAAAAATTCATTTGCTCTTTCTGTAATGCCCTAAAATGCCACAAGGTGGTACAAAAGTAAAAAATAAATAGAAAGTTGTAATCGGTGTCAAAGAAGTATGTTGACGTGATAAATCTCAAATGAGATCTTTGTGTGTCGGGAATGGGTTAAATTTAGCCTGATTTATCCTTAGTTGTTAAAGTTACCGAGGCTCTTTCCCGCATTTGTATGTTTTTGTTAGCTGGGCCGCGATTCTTAGGTCTTATTTTTTTAAATCAAATTAAATGGAATTATTTTAAGGGTAATGCAAAATAAGTTTCAAATGACACTTGTTTTTTGGGCTGCCCGGTAGTCGACTGGTTGCATGTTCTCCCCATGCCTGCGTGGGTTTTCTCCAGGTACTCCGCTTTCCTGCCACATCCCAAAAACATGCATGGCAAGTTAATGGAACATTCTAAATTGTCCCTCGGTGTGAGTTTGAGCGCAGATGGTTGTTTGTCTCTGTGTGCCCTACGATTGGCTGGCAACCGATTCAGGGTGTCCCCCACCTACTGCCCGATGACGGCTGGGATGGGCTCCAGCACCTCCTGCTACCCTTGTGAGGATAAGCGGATCAGAAAATGGATGGAAGAACTTGTTTTTGGATCACATTTTGTGGTATATTTGCAGTTTAAACTGTTTTTAAGATGTTTTAAAGATTTTGGGAAGGGTTATTTATTCTTGATCTTTACCTATTGGTGGAAGGGCTTGGTAACCTTTGCATTACAATGTGAAGTTACTCTTGAGGGGGGTGTCCTATACCTGATGTTAATTGCCTCTGCTTCACTCGTGCGCTTCTCGCACTGTGGTTCGTTCTGTGTGCGCGATAATGCACGTGGCAATGCGTGGTTGAGAGAAATGTTGCTGATGAGGTGAATCAGGTATCTCGAGAGCTGAGCTGTGCAGCATTGCCTTTGTCTGCAGACCACTGAGGGCACAAGGTGGGGAGGGGGAAAGCATGCTTCCTCAAGGTCGTTCTCGTCACACTGTTCTGGTTTTGCGCATGGGAGTCACAATGTGTTCACTTGCCCACCAGACTGATGATCAAGGCTTAATCTCGGGGAGTGCTGATCAAATGGCTGTGAACAACTCACCTTTAGTGCATATTATACTGTATTTAATCGGTTTCTTGCACTTGCTTCCGTTTTTAACAGTGATATAATACATTACATGTGACCCACTGCCTAGATTTAATATGGACTAAATGAATGGAAATATTAGTTTAAAAAATGCAGACTGAACTACCTTTACTGATTTGATTATTACAATTGATTTTTTTCCTCTTCTTTCTTTTCTTCCTTTTGTTATTTATTTTACAAAATTTACAAAGTTAAAATTTGGTGGACCATTGTACCAGGATCTAGATTTTTGCTCTGGACCTAGCCACAACAATGCTAGTGATTGAAAGTGGGAATAAATAGCTGACCTCTTTTTTATAAATTAGGTTAATGCCATAACCTCTACTCTCAGCTGCCACTGGTACTGTTGACATAATTATGTGTAAGTGTAAATTGAACTTTTCCAGCATAACACACTCTATAATGACTCCAAAAAAAACAGACTCCAAGAGGAAATTGGAAGCTAGAGTAAAGTTGAATGAGCTTTACTGTTGTCCTTTTTCCTTCTATTTCTTTTTCATGAGAATAGTATTTTGTTAAAAACAACAACAAACTACGCTTTTCCAAGGCACAAACAGCAAGAGGCAATTTGGAGAAACTGGCCACAATCACTGGGAGTGTATGACCAGAGGTGTCACGTGATTCAATCAAACTATCAAAACAGGGGCTGGAACAGTGATTATGCTACACCGCCAGTATAGGGAGACCTAGCAACACAAATGCAAGCCAGCTCATTTTAAGGAGTAGAATTGTGTCTCGCCCTCTGAGGCCCAGTCGGGCTGGCATCTAACGATATGTAGTGACACAACACAGTGGCACAGTGACACTGGGCCTGCAGGCCACTGTGAATGTTGAATGCCGTATGTTAGAAATTGAGCAGAATACTGTAAATACTGAACAACGAAACTTTGTGTTATGGCCAGACAATGGAAGAGCCTGTTGAATTTGGTGTAAATGTGAGATGCAAACTAGGGGATTATTCAATATGAATGGTATCCTAGGAGGGTGCTGTGATTTAATGTTGATCTTTGAATTCTCCCTCAGAATAACTACTTGGCGTTCATGGCAGAGCTCTTTTGGTGGTTTGAGGAGGTCAAGCCTTCTTTTGTGAAGCCAAACGTTTTGGACAATGAAGCCCCGGGTAAGTCTTTGATGGTCCTGCATTACTGCTACGAAGGTAAAAGCGGAATTTGTGTCTGAAATACAAACAATTTAAAGGTAAATGTGGTAGCTGGTGTAGGAGGCACTACACACATGAGTCAACAACTTTTTTTTTCTTTCCCCCCCCCCCTCCAGAATTCTCATCCTTGTTGAAGAATATGCCAGCCGTTCCAATCTCTAAAGCAACTAAGAGGAGTTTCATGGAAAGATCCCCAAGTCCTGAAAGACCAAGGTGCCGTATTATGTTAAGTCAAATTGGGAAATTTCATGTTTTGTGAGATAGAATACATTGGTCACCTATATTAATTGCTAATGACGATACAACTTTAATGTGAAATTCCTCTCTTTCTAGTTTGCCCCTGCGACCCCAGCCTAGAAATTCAGGTATCTATTTTTTTCTTCCCCATGTCTACATTATGTGAAGTCCAGTAAGACAATCATCTGTGAATCTATCTGGAAAGGCATCGATTCCAGATACAGTATTCTGTGCACACAAGATACTGGGTGTAAATAACAAAATGAAAGTATTTTGTACATATGTGTTGCTTGCATCAACCAGGTGAGATCAAGAAATCGACCTCAATGTCCTTTGTTGAAAGCAACCTTGGTACCTGGCCGAAAGAGAAAAGGTCAGTGTTGCATATCTCAGTGGTCCTTATCTTGAAAAAAAAAAACATGTTTCAAAGTTAAGCATAATGTTGTATCATGATTTCTCAATATGTTTCCTAAATCAAGTTTTTCTATTTTCTTAGGCCTGGGCCGTACGGAGTGTCTTTTGACATTCCCTTGGACAAAGAGGAAGCTACTTCTTCACCTCATTCTGCCACACGTGGTATGGTCAGGTCTGTCAGCACTGATGACGGTTCTGGTTTTAAGGTCCACCACCTTCCTCCTGGGATGAAGCGGAACCTTTCCTTCCAACCAGTCAATGGCACGAGATTTGGGATCGAGGAGGAGGGTTGCCCAGACAGTCTAGCTGGTCGGGACCCTGAAAGGCCAACCTACCCTAGCGGATCTACCATGACAACTCCCTCCATAGAAGAGGCCCTCCAGCTTATTCACAGCCCAAGTCGGCCCCCTGTGGAAGGTATCAACAATGGCTTCTTCCTGCACGGTCCGGAACTTGGAACCGGCCGTGGTAATTTGGCGCCGTTGTCCGAGTTGGACTCTCAAGGACATTTGAGCCAGACAGACACCACAGAGGTTGACACTGGCATCCACATCCACACAGAGGATATGCTGGATGAGGATTCATCACTGAAAGACTGCTCCGTGAACATGGACCTTGATATGGATACACCCAGCCCTTGCCCAAGTAGTCAGAGCAGATCCCCCTCAGCGCTGAGGATGACCAACTTTGCTGAGCAAAAGATGAAGAAGATCACCCCATCAGCACCAGACTCAGGGCGCGAGAGCAGCAACTCCCTTAAAACCACTCCAGAAGGTTCCGATTTTGGTTTACCATTATCCGTTTCATGGGCCCCAACTCCAGAACACAGTCCCATTCGTCAACAAATGCCACCACCCTCTGCAAAGGCGCCAGCTGTCCAGCTTCCACACAGTGACCCTGCTCAGGTCATGGCGACCGAAATGGTTGAGCTGAGAATGCGCTTGGAGGAGAAAAGGAAAGCCATCGAAGCACAGAAAAAAAAAGTGGAGGCAGCTTTTACCAGGCACCGTCAAAAGGTCGGTCACTCTGCCTTTCTTAATGTGGTGAAGCGTAAAGGTGACGGAGCTGCGAGTGGAGTCGAGGAAGGAGGGAAGGTGAAAGGCGAAATCCAGTCTTTGAGTCCCATATTGAGGTGTGGTCGAAGCAGTGCGGACACACCTGATGGGGCGGAGCAAAGCAGCACAAGCTGCTGTTGGCAAAAGTCTCCTAGCGGAGCTGAGGACGGTGGTCAAGGGCACACCCAGCTCACTGAAGCGGATCTTGCCGATTACACACGATCCATCGAGAAGCTCAATCATTCTTTAGCCTTCCTCCAGACCGAGATGCAGAGGCTCGCGCAGCAGCAGGAAGTCATCATGGCCATGAGGGAGCAGCAACATCAGCGAGCATGGGTCATCCCTCCCTCTCAAGCGAACCCCTCGCAGCCAAAATATGGAAGAGGCGGCAATGTCACTCGATCTTCAGGACCCTCTTCCCCGGCGGACTCCCCTCGCTCAGCCCACCGCTCTCCGACCAGCATCAAGCGCAAATCCGCCTCCTTCCACTCACGTAACCCTCGCACCGCTCGCCCTAATGAGCTCAAGTTGGCCCCTTACAACCGCGTCCTCAGCGCGCCGCAGTCTGTAGATAGCATCCCCAGGCTGCGACGCTTTTCTCCCCGTCTGCCCACAGATAGCTCCTTTGTTTACATGGGTGAGACACCTGCGGCCGCCAGTCCTGAACCTGTCAACAAGCAGACAGACACACTCGTCTCCCCAGACAAAGAGCTGCGTGATATTTGTACATCTTCTCCCAGCTCGCCCAACAAAGGGCAAACACAAGAAGACTCAAAGGCTAAAATCCAAGAGAAGGCTCCCAGCCAACCGAACACCACCGAGATGGAAAAATTAGTCGATCTTAAACCTGCACAGTCAACATTCGCTGAGGTTCTGGCCCACCCGGTGGTTGAGATGTTCACGATAACCCCCACAGAGATCCCCACGGTGCCGGAAGTCAAGAGCAACCAGATTGAGGTTCCCCTATCAGTTGTGAAGCCGCTGAATGACTTGACGCTTGATGACGGCTCGGAGACGGAGCTCGGAGGTGCGGAAGGCCAGGGGGACGAACAGAGGATGCGTTGCAGCTTCTTCTTCAAGGTCAGGTCCTGTTTCAAAAGGTGTTTGTCACAGTTTGACCCCCAGATAACCCAACTGATTTGAAATCTTGAACTGTAATTGTACACTAGTTTGTGTTTCATTTTTACATGATGGTCTAAATGATTCAGGGAAGACGAGGGCGACATCATCTTGCCATTTATAGCTTACCAGCTGCAGTGTGAGCTGCGATGTGGGTCACAGAAGTGGGTCTGATGTGCATAATTCAGATCCCACTGTGAAGATGTGCACTCATAGAGAAGCTACATAGATCATGAGAGGTAGTAATAAGTGATGCTCACATGAAATAAGGGATCAAAATGATAATAATTGCAGTGGGTGATTGTGGGTATCCGCTGATGTATGGCAACAATTGAAATCCCAACATTTCAGCTGCTCTTTCATTTCGCAATAGTAATACCAAGCCTGCCAACCTTTTGATGGGGCAATCTGAAAATTTAATCATGAAAGGTGCATGAAAATGTTACATTTTAGAGTTTGAAAATCTGTTTCATTGTTATTGTTACAGTGCTTGGAATTGCAACAGCGGTATTTTGTTTTATATAAAGTTGGGTCGACTAATAAAGAGGTGACTTGGTGGAATTCACCCCAACTGTCGGAACCCTGTCATTTTTGTGACAAAATATTTAACTCTCTACTGTCTGGTGAAGAAATCTTTATTCTGGTCATACTTTATCAACCGGCGTGAGGAGACCTGACCTTGTCTCCAAAATTTCTCAGGAGGATGGAAAGGCAGAGGAGAACATGGCTCAGAGGAGAGCGGCGCTGCTGGAGAAGAGGATGAGGAGGGAGAAGGAAAGCCAGCAGAAGAGGATGCAGCAGGAGGCGGAGCTAGAGCAAAAGAAAGAGGAGGCTCGGTATACGCTTTTTCATTCTTTAAATCCTTGTCACAGTTTATTCGATAAGTCACTCTCTGAATAATGTTGACTCTTTTCTGGACACTTCCGATGTGTATGCCTACCTTTTTTTTTTCTTTTTTTTTTTTAATGAATATTTTGAAAGGAAGTTTACTTGTTAACTGTAATATGTACTCTGTGATACTTTGTTTCAAAAGGTGTTGCATAACCAATATTGTTATTATAATGTTAGTATAAATAAACAGATTTATAACAGGGCTCTGGCCGAGTTTAGTGTATTCCAACTAACACATTTTGTAATGCATTAAAGTGAAATATATTGTCAGATCAGTACACTGTATGCTGTGTTGAATCGTTTTCTTGCCTTGTCCTTGCATTTTTTCACCAGGTTAAAAGCGGAGGAGGAGCGTATCCGAAAGGAAGAAGACAAGGCCAGGAAGGAATTCATCAAGCAGGAGTATCTTAGAAGGAAGCAGCTGAAACTGATGGAGGACATGGACACGGTCATCAAATCCCGACCAGCTGCCAGCACAAAACAACGACGAGGTCGCCCCAAGTCAATCCGTCGTGACAGCATCGACTCCCCAAAAACTCCTGTCAGAGCTGCTACAGGTAGCCACAGAGCCATGCCCTATGCCCCATGAGCCAATTCGGTCTTTATATCTTTCTCTATGTATGCCGCCCAAAAGTGTCTGGGAACATTGTGAAAAATATACCCTGACCGGACATGTAATTATTGACGCAGAATTCCACATTCAATCCAGTAGGGAGAAAGAAAAAAAAAATCTGCCTTTACAAATAGAATTATGATCAGTTTGAGAGTTCTTCATTTGATGTTTTTAGAATTGTTGCCTTTACCTGTGTAGCAACATATTGACAGTTATATCTAACCAAACTGATCACAAATGGAAAGGCAGATTTGCTTTTGTGACTTTTGTATCAAATGCTATTGTGCAATTGTATTTCACGGTGTAGCCAATCAGCGTCAACTTAACATACTAATTGAGCAATGCAACACTAGTGTATTAATCTACTAATGCATTATATTACAGATGATGTATGAATTACTATTCACACGTGATATTATTACATGTGATGTGTGAGTTTGTTTCAATCTCAGCTCAGACTGCATCGCTGTGGTGAGGCCTCCAGCGTCGTCATGCATGGTTGTCACTATGACTGTGTCGTGCTATGTCACATCTCATTGTCTCGAATTCAGGTCCACGCCAATTTCTCTTTTCAGTCTCCAGCTTGTCCCTGGCATCCCTCAACTTGGGAGACGGCGACAGTGTGGACTCGGAGAAGAGAGCGCAAAGGTGAGATTGTACATGCATTTGTAAGTGCTGATGTGACCTTACACATGTGAGTTTATTTCTCTTAGATCAGGAGTGTCAAACATACGGCCCGCGGGCCGGAACTGGCCCCCAGGGAGGTTCAATCTGGCCCGCAGGAAAATTTAAAAGTGAAAAAATGCATCAAAGACACAGAATGAATGTTTTTAATAAAATGCAATTCATGGATTATCCGCTCGGGGCAGACCGTTTTGATCAGAGTAGAAGACAACATTGTTTTGATCAGAGAAGAAAACAGCAGTCTCAATCTGTCCCTGAGACAGACCCAACACAGCAGACGCTATCAATGCGCCAATGCTTCTTTATACCAAAACAAAGGAACGACATGATATTTTGGTTATTTATAGCAAAGTATGGTCTAATGTTCATGGTCCGGCCCACTTGACATCTACCGAGTCCGTATGTGGCCCACAATGTGAAATGAGTTTGACACCCCTGTAAATTAAATGAAAATATTTACACTGCATATTATGTACATCCTACTTAAGACAATGGAAAATGTCCAAAACAAAAGTTGAACCAATATTTCTACCTACACAAAGATAATAATGCTCTTTTCTTTTTCTTTTTTTGGTGTGTATAAAAATAAATAAGGAAATAAATAAACTGCATATGATGGCTATTATACATTAGATGCAGCAGTTTTTTTCCGGAATGGCACATGTTAATATATACAGTATATGTATTTTTTATTGCTGTTTTTGCCGTGTTGATGACGTGTTGACACATCTGCATCGTGCGACACCAACTGCCTCAGACTAAGTAGTGACAGTTCTGTCATGTTTTTTTTTTTTTTTTTTTTTGTAATTCCTCATTTGCTTTGGTGTAAACAAACCGAATCGGCGCCTCTTAAACTGCAGACTGGGTGGGCCCTTATGACTTATATCACGTGTGCTGCCATGTTTGAGTAGACAAAATAACATACTGCATTTTTTGCAATTTTAACGTATTCTTGCCACTGTTCCTCCTGTTACTTCTGTCCTGTTTTAATCACAAATGCCAGAAGTGCTAGTTTAGCCTCTGGCGGTCTCCTCTGCTATCTGGGCTCTCCTAAACTGAGAAGGAGAAGGTTAGTTGCTGCTTGGTCCTCAGATCACGGTGCTTCATGTTGTTCCAGCGCCGGTCCTGCACTGTACCTCGCCCTCACACTGGCTTTGACTTGACTAAGCAGAGCACTTTTTTTCTGTTGTTTGTTTGTTTTTTACTCTCATGGTCATCACTTAAAGCTTGTCTGTCTGATGGAATGCATAGCGGGACTGCTGTATTTGTTCACAACTTGCATTCCTGATCATTTATAGAACAAACGTAATGAATGTTAAAATGATTTGACATGCATAAAACAAGAATTTTAATAAGATAAGATTCAGTTAGCACTGCAAGCTGCTGTCCCAAGTGATTGACCTTAAACACTGCTACCAGACTGCTTCACATGACGGCTCCTTGTGCTTTGCAAGCTTTGCTGCTCGACTTCTGATTAACCCTTTCATGCACCAATAACGATAGCCTGTAAACTGATAAAAAATAATAAGCTGTCCACCGCAGTGACCGCTGTGCCTGAAAGGGTTAATAATGTGCAACAGAAGATCAGACTCCTTCTTTATAATTATTTTTTTAACCATTCTTGTTGCAAAATTACACAGATTATGTCAACGTAAGTGATGACATAGTGAGAGTGATAGTTCTTTGAAAAGATCATTTTACTTCTAATTGATGCATGAATACAATACATTTACACTGGATACAGAATTCTATGGTGAAACAACCATTTCAACAGTAGATTTAATATTCTTGGGGGTTTTTTTTGTCTTCTAGGCCAGATTCGGCAGATGGCTTCCTGTCCCCGAGTCGCACCAGCAGCAAGAATGGGGAGAAAGACTGGGAAAATGGATCCACAACTTCCTCCGTTACGTCAGTCACAGAGTACACAGGTTGGTGTTGCTCATTGTGCGCTAGCATTTGTTGTTGGCATTTAAGATGTTGAAAGACTGTGACTGTGGCTGTGGTGGAGAACTGCACTGCAGTGTTACACTGAGAATTCGCAAGCCAGCTCTAGTGGTATGTGAGTGAGTCAAGACGGAGAGTAAGAAGTGGGAATGACTTAAGGCGTCTCAATCAATTATGATGAAAACTGAAATGAACAGCTTTCTGTCCTGTTTCCACCCAGGACCGAAGCTCTACAAGGAGCCAAGTGCCAAATCAAACAAGCACATCATCCAGAACGCATTGGCCCACTGCTGCCTTGCTGGCAAGGTCAATGAAGGACAGAAGAACAAAATCCTGGAGGTAACAGCTCGACAAGCCACTCTGTGGCTTCAGTCATTGACACTAAAGACACGTAGTAATGTGTACGCAAATTAAAATGATTATATGTCAAATGTTAAAATTACAGTTAATAAAGTGTCAAGAATCATTTCTTTTTGTCACTACTGGCTTTATATTTGTTAAACCGCAGGGTTGGGCTCACGTCCTATTGCCGAAATGTGTTCTTGACTTCAGCAGATTGAGCTCATATTTTCTGATTTGTTTTCTATTGCCAACAGGAAATGGAAAAATCGGAGGCAAACAACTTCCTGGTTTTGTTCCGCGATGCCGGCTGTCAGTTCCGCTCCCTGTACACTTATTGCCCCGAGACCGAGGAGATCAATAAGCTCACAGGCATCGGCCCCAAGAACATCACACGCAAAATGATCGACGGCCTGTACAAGTACAATTCGGACAAGAAGCAGTTCAGCCTGATACCAGCTAAGACCATGTCAGCCAGTGTGGATGCCGTGACCATCCACAGCCATTTGTGGCAAACCAAAAAGCCAGTCACCCCGAAAAAAGTAGTGCCTGCCCCTCAGTCCTGATGGAAACTGAACGTGACCATTTCAGTTTGCACTCCCGCCGTATATTCCCATGATGATTCAAACACCTGCAATGCCACCGCAACATGTTTTCCATTTGAGTTTTGTCAGGTTCTGCTCCCCGTGGTTCTCACTTCCCTGCTACAAGTGGAATGTAAACCACTGATGTTGAATGATGTAAATATCTTGACATTTTTTCAAGACAAGACGTAGAAAATGAGTTCATTTTTATTTCCTTTCGTGCCAAAAAGACAAAAAAAACAAGACCGTATGAATGCTAGGACATTTTACTCAGAACACTGAAGCACTGAATGTTTATATTTTATGTATAGATTGAATTTCATTTGCAATAAGTTTTAAGTGCGGCCTTACGCGCCTTGGGCTTTAAGCGTGTGAGTTCAGTGAGCTGATTGTAAAGCAACATTCAGAGATTTTGTTTTGTATGTTTTGGAATAAGCCTTTTTCATTGCTATTTGTCGGTAAACGTGTTTGTATATTGAGGTACATAAATCTAAGGGCCAAAAAAAGATTGATTGCATACAGCTAGCGTTCGCCACACAGCACGTGTGTGTTCAACTCAACAAAGTTAGACGGTTTCAGCTTTTACACAACCATTTTCTTCGGAAGAATGTAGGACATCACTCCTGATAAGATTCTTCAAGATGTGGGAAAATATGTTCTAGGTAGTGACGGATCTTTTTTTTTTTTTTACTTGTAACTGAGTAAATTCAGTAGAATTCATCCATTTGTGATTTCTTTGCACTTACTGTATAGTTCACAAGTATGACCTTTTTGCCAGATCGCACAAGTCTTGAAGTCAAAATGTCTACAATTCTTCAATGCCAAGATTTAGAAGAATGCCCTTTTGTTGGCATGAACACATTTTGACATGAATTGGATGGAAGTTGACCCAAGTCAACATTTTGTAAGAAAGCAAGAACCGAATTTGTTCGGATGAACGGTTGTCATAACAGCCAAATTCAAAGATCGATTCAGTACATGACGGTTTTTAGCGCTATACGCCGGAAATTGGAAGATTGTTCATATCAAAGCAAGAACTTTTGTTTCCAGCGATATGCAACCTGATAATACAAGAACCCAATTGGTTTTGAATTTGTCATTACAGCCAAGGTTGATGGGATTACAGTAAATATTCACATGCATTGTAATTTATTTTGTATTCCTGTATATATTCTCTACTTTTATGTTATCAAGAATGTTATTTATTTTGGATTGATATCAAACAAAAGATGGCTGAGCTCCGGTAGCTCAAAGCTCAAAACAATGCAGGTTCGCCATTTTAAACATTGTATTCTTGTATTTACCTCCACGCCAGAGCTTGAACTCTATTGATACTGAGGGATTCATCCAATCCAAGATGTTTCAAGTAACTTTTAGGGATAATGGTCAGGTTTTATGTCAGCTCTCCAGCACCTTCCATTTTTACACAATTTCTTCACTGCTAATAGATGACAGCTATGTGAGGGATTGTCCTTTGTGATGGTTTACTTTAGGCTTTTCTTCAGAAAGATATTTTATATTCACACATGGTGGAGTCGGTCATACAGACTGATATCCATCATTATGACGCCTGAGAAGCATTTCTCCTGTGCCAGTAAGTCGTTTTCCTGGAGTAATAAATTGTAAATTGCCACTCAGAAAGCTAAAAAGCTGAATGCCATTCATGGTTGGACAACATTTATGTATTTAGAATGACGGCATTCTAAATGACAATGTGTTGACAACCAAACGAACATGATGAGAAAAGTGTGTTTTAGTTGCAACATGTTTATACAAAGTATTTTCAAGTAGGATCTTTCATTGCAATTGTAGAAAAATCACACAATGTTGTGAGACTGATGATGATTTGCTGCATACGGGTAAAAATGCACCATTTTTGTTGGTGCCAGTTCCAAACAGGTTTTCTGTGAGCATATCTCGTGATGTGATGCATAATTTAGGTTGGGGGGCATTTTTGACTCAAGGAGCATGTACTTTTGTTCAAAACGTAGTCCAGTATCTCTCTTGGTTATTGATGACAGGAAAGGGAAGCAAATATTTAAACTAAGCTTTTATTGTACAGTGTGTTCATGTGCATTCATACCTTCTTGCTAGGATGACACTTTTTTGTCAATGTGGTGTCAAAAGAGCTTGCTGAATATGTAGTTTGTTTGTTTTTTTTCTCCAATAAATAAACTCAGCATGGCCCCTAAAATACACAAGGATGTTTGTTGGCATTTTCAGTCTTAATAACTATAATCTCTTCCTACTCAGGCAAAATATCCATCCATTTTCGCGGGCCTAATGGAGCCCATCCCACCCATCTTCAGGCAGTAGGCGGGGGACACCCTGAACCGGTTGCCAGCCAATCGCACACATAGACAAACATTCACTCTCACAATCACACCTTGGGACAATTTAGAGTGTTTCATTAACCCGCCATGCATGTTTTTGTAATGTGTGAGGAAGCCACAGTACCCGGAGAAAGGCATGGGGAAAACATGCAAACACCACACCTCAAGTCCGAAGCTGGAATCAAACCTTGCACCTCTGCACTGTGAAGTGGACGTGCTAACCAGTCGACCACCGTGCCACCGTTGGGCAAAACAGTCAGCGAGAAAATCGCATTGTTGCCTTGTTTACATTAACAACAATGTCCTGTCATCTCTCGGCATAAGGTCTTACTCAACTGGAAGAGGAGTTCATGTGTGGGAGCCGTTTTAAAACCAGCCAGGTGAACGACCAATTGGTATACATGGCTGTCATTCATCAGCCAGCAACGCGAGCCTGTGACCAGTCTACCTGTGTAGAAAACACACGATCGATCGATCGATCGATAGATAGATAGATAGATGCACTGCACACAACATGATGTCGTGCCCACGTCCCTTGCAGGTGAGAAGTTGTCGGTTTTCCTCAACCTTGCCCAAAGAAGGTGCGACTACACTGCGTCAATGGCGCACCTGATTGGCCGTTTGCGGCTGCGTGCGTCTGCATGGCAACGCGACCTGCGCGCCACAAATAAGGCAGGAGGAGAGCTCTACTAGCAAGCCGGAATTTATTGACCGCACTTTGTTGGACGCTGTTTGGTTTGGCGCGTTGTTGGCGCACTGTGACAGGTCAGGATGCGGTAGAGATTTGACGCGACATCATGTGTGGAGCGTGGGAATGAATGGCATGGGTTTGTGTTGTTCCCTGCTTGCGTGTCTGATTGTGGAGGGACTGGGCGGTGCCGACCCACCACAAACGCACTATAGGCTACTATCAACAAATAGTGAACACCATGCATGCAGCGTGAAAAATCTCGATTTTCTTATAAACGCGTATAACGTTGCACTGAATAACCGTTGGCATGCCAGCAAAGATGCACATGATGTATTACACGCGTCACTGAGATTGCAGATGTTGGAATCTTAGATAACGACCACGCTGGTGTTACACCAAATACAACTTGCAGTGATGATTGCTGTAGTGAAAAAGCGAAAAAAAAAACATGACCAGTGTTTGGGCCTTTCAGTAGCAGCACGAGTTGTTTAACGTGCATATGCATCATGTTTCTATTTTTTTCCCTTCATTTATGTATCGCTAGTGTGACGCACAAACCAAAAACCCGTTACCCTCACTGGGAATTCACACCAAGGGGTGCATTGATTAATTAATAACATAATGAATTGATTGATGACTTGCCAAAACTGTTGTTGCAAAACTGATTCCTTCTGTGCTGTTTTATACTGTAACTAGTCACAACATTAGGTCCAATAATGGCATCCAACAGAAGACCTATTTTGAAACATCATATTCCCTTCATAAAGATAGTAATTAATGCTCAGGGAAATGTTGGTTAACAATGGATACACAGAGGCCTGTACATTTTGTGTTTTGTCTTGAATCGCATAATTTGAAGACATGCACGCACGAGGCTGCTGTTGTCATGTGTATTTTTACAGTTTCTGTATCTCCAAATGCGTCTGGATTTAAGTGGCTGGTAAACTGCCACTTGAAGCTGGTCACCATGACAGCAGAGGAGACAATCAACATCAAAGAGGCAGAAGTGGTCAAACTGGTCCTCGACTTCCTCAGCGCCAGGAAGCTGCACATCAGCATGTTGGCGTTGGAGAAGGAGAGCGGCATCATCAACGGTCTCTACTCCGATGACATGCTCTTCCTCAGGTGCAATAACATCACAGACCTTATAAGAACTTCAACAAAAAGACTCATTCGCTCCTCACTGATAGGCAACTCATTCTGGATGGTCAGTGGGAGGAGGTGATGCAGTTCATTCAGCCTTTAGAAGGGTTGGACAAGTTTGACAAGAAAAGGTAAAACCATCTAAACATCAACCAGAAGTCAAGTTCCTGTCATGGTCACATATTTACCATTGAATGAATTGAATTCCATAAAGGCATTTTATCAAGTAACTCTTTTATAACCTGCCTATTTTCTAAATGTGTATGTGAGTAAGCTGTTCTCAGTTTTCCAATTTACATAATGCTGCCACCTTATTGAGTTTCTCTGCCACTTTCAAGCAACAGCTGCGGTTGACAGTGTCATCAACATTAGGTTCTGCTAAATTGTTGACAAATTTGGAGCAGGGCGGTATCTGCACATTAAAATGACAAGTCTAATTTGGCAATTGGTTGATGAAGTGAGCAGTGACTTCAAGTGTGATTGCTGATGTCTCGTTTTGACTGTAACTCGCAAAGTAGCAAGGGTGAACCTTTACATCTCTCCTTGACCCAATGACGTAATCCAACAAAAACTAAGGAAAGATGGCATAAAGGTTAGGAGATTTGACTTTCTAAAGAGGCCCTTGCTTGAAGCTTCAGTTCACCCCACAGAGCGGGGCTGGATTAGCAGCGACACTTTTGCATGACGCAAGACAACCTCCGCAAAATAAGGACATTTCAGAAAGGGTATACAGTACGTAAATGTATTGTGAAAAGAATCCGATAATTCTTGGCTCTTGGGATATTTTGACGGAAGCATGTCACAGACTTGAATGAATGATTTGTGAAAATGTCAACACCATTTTGTTTTTTCTTTCAGGTTCCGCTATATAATTCTGAAGCAGAAATTTCTTGAAGCTCTGTATGTAAATAATGCCATGTCTGCAGCTAAAGATCCCCAAAATGTACGTTTTGCATTTCCAGCACATAATATTTGTTCTTTGGCATGACAATTCACACTGTTGCTAAGAAAGAAAAACAAAAAACTGAACAACACTGTTGCTGTGCTCAGCTAGATTCAAACCTTTTGCGAATCACAAAGTGTTGCCTAACCAGTCAATTTGCTTTCTGAAAGCAATGTTAGGACACAATAATATTTTTTTATGGAATATCAAAGCCAGGTTAACAAAGATTTTGAAATTAAGTATTTCCTCAACGCACATAAGAAACTAATCAGTTCGCTTAAATTTGCTCAGTAACTAACAATTGCTTTGATATGCTAATTACCACTTTACAGGACTGTTGTGTACCATTTAAAAAAAAACCCAAAAAAAACAAAGACAGTTTTGACATTTTCTGTGCAGCAGCATTCACAAACATCAAATCACCACCGATAAAGAAGTGGAAGTTATCTCGAGAAGCTTACTACCTCCTCGGTATCACGAATGGAAATTAGAAAACCTGTTGAGATAGTTTTCGAGAAAGTAAACCTCCCTCAGGCCAGGATGGCTGAATTATTATATTCACTGAATATGCCATAATACTGAACTGACAGCTACAGTCCATGCTCACTGTTAATAAATGTCTGCCATGTGCAGCTGGAGCTCACTATGCAGGAGGCTGTCAAGTGCCTGCACAACTTGGAGGCGTTCTGCCCGTCTAAGGAGGACTACAGCAAACTGTGTCTCCTCCTCACGCTGCCTCGCCTCACCCACCATGCTGAGTTCAAGGAATGGAACCCGAGTACGGCGCGTGTCCACTGTTTCGAGGAGGCTTGCGCAATGGTCGCCGAGTTCATTCCAGCGGACAGGAAGCTGAGCGAGGCGGGCTTCCGAGCGAGTGGGAACCGCCTCTTCCAGCTGCTCATCAAAGGGATACTTTATGAGTGCTGTGTTGAATTCTGCCAGGTGGGGCGACGCGTATTTTAGAACAGTGTCTGTTGTTCTTTTCAATAGGGCGTGCAAGGAAACTATGACTTATTCTGTGGCTTGAATGGCAATGACTTCATTTTATGGAAGAGCATTTAATTGTTCTGCCTGCCACCATTTCCGGCATTGGTCGATGTATTTGTAATTCATAAATGAATGAACAAATTAAGTGAGAATGGACGCTTATTGCACACCTCAATATTTGTTTTTCTCATTTGTACGAGCAAATCTATTCAATCAGTCGAACACCTTTACTTTTATATTTTGTAGAGCAAAGCCACTGGAGAGGCAATAACAGAGGGCGAGGTGTTACTCGGCGTAGACTTGCTCTGCGGGAACGGTTGCGATGAACTGGATCTGTCGCTGCTCTCCTGGCTGCAGAACCTTTCCCCTGGTGCATTTTCATGCGCCTTCCAACAGAAGACCCTCAGCATCCATGTCGACCGTCTGGTCAAGCCCAGCAAGGCCGGTTACGCCGACCTTCTTACCCCTCTCATCAACCGCCTCTCCCCATGCCCGGCTTCACCTTTCCGTCAGAGGCCGCACTCAGCCGACACCTACATGTCCAGATCCCTTAACCCGGCTCTGGACGGACTGTCACACGGCTTGGCTGCCCAGGACAAGAGAGGCACGGAGGTCAACATGAAATCAGCTCTCAGTCGAAGCCTGGTGGAGAGTAATCTTCATCAACTGGATGATTCCCCTGAGAAGTAAATATCGGAACCGCTTCTTGACTGGAAATGCAAACGGCATAACAGATTGAACATTATTAAACCTCTTGTTTGAAGTGATATTAATTGGCCCATGGCTTTTTTTTCTAAATGTAGAAAGTACCCACAGGGTTTGGAAGGTCCCAAGACCACGCGCACCCCTCTGACTCCTGGGAGGGATGGTGGGACAGCATGCACAGAAACAGCTGAGGTAACAAGAGCAAATGACAACAAGAAACGACATTCATATGTCTTGTTGTTTGCAGAGGTTATAGATAAATGTAAATGTCTAACAACATAAATTACTCTTTTCACCCCAAACGATTTATACCATCTTTTAATATTTGTTTCCGTCCATTTGTTCGCTAGCAGGCAAGGTAGCATCTTGGACTGGATCGATTCTAACTGGCCTAAAAAAATAAATACATCTAAAAGTTTGAAAAATAAACTAAAAAGTTAGGTTAGAGAGGAAACAATGAGCTAATTGATCTTTTTGACTACATTGACCTGCCCCAGCCAATCATTCAATCACATTATTGATTTTCATCCTAATTTAAAACAGTCTCTGACATGCTTTCATCAAAACAGCAATTTGAATAATCACAGTGAGCACAGATTTTCACTTAATGCGGGTGGATTTGGAATGTATCCGCACAATAAACAGGGGTTCGGTGTGCTCTAAAAAAAAAATCATAAAAATCTTGGTCACGGGGCTCAAGGAGCAGTCCATAAAATGGAGGAACAACGTAGCATCATGTCATGATACTGGCATCTGCTGGCACTTGAAGAGATCTGCTTGGTCACACTAAATCCTGCTTTGATGATATTCATGGAACTTAAAGATCAGATCAACGAATACCGCATACAATTTGGGGCCACATTTGAATATTTTCATGAATTTTCTTAGGAAAGAGTACGCAGACCTTGCTGTTGGTGAGAAGTTTACACAATTACCTTCTAGTTAGGTTATGTGTATGTGATGTCTGTTGTAAGGGGATAAGAGAAGCATCGCAGGTAGTCGTTTAAGTGCTCACCTTTGGCTGCTCAGGCTGAATTGCTTCAATGAATCAAGAGTGTAAAAACAAATAACAAAGGTTGTCCGAGGCAATGTCTTGTCATGGGAATTATGACTAAGAGTAACAAGAGCGTAAGAGATTTCGAATTGATTCCCCCTGAACCCCTGAACCACCTCATCTCCATACTGCCACTGCTCATAAATCCCTCCTAACTGCCCTGCCGCAAATGTCCAGAGACACTTGTGACCTGGTGGCACTGCTGCGTGAAAGTGGCGGAGGTCATGGGAAGAAGCGGCTGATAATCTGATTTGATTTGCTGTCGCACCCAAGATGGCCCAGTGACTCTGTCATCACTCTTCTTTATGCATCCGAGGTTCCAGCTAATGGAGCAACGTGTTTTCATATTGGATCCTGTGTGTGTGTGTGTGTGTGTGTGTGTGTGTGTGTGTGTGTGTGTGTGTGTGTGTGTGTGTGTGTGTGTGTCTGCATGAAAAGTGGCGGTGACAGAGTTGAAGGGACAATAGTGCAGACGAGATATGATGAGGTCCCTGAAAACTTTTTTATGGCATGGATGATGTAGCATGAGGCCTTGAGAAGGGGAGACTTGGCAGTAGGGGTTCAGTGGAGAGTTTGTCTATAATACACAGTAAATGGGTGTAGGTGTGTGCTCCTGTTCGTGACGATAAGTGATTGACACATTTGCATCCATTCCCCCATTTTCGATAACAATTGTGCACACCAGGGTCCCAGGTAAGCCGATTCCTGCTAGCGAGAGGGGGGAACACCCTGGATGCCATCCAGCCAATCGTGGGTCACTTATAGAAAAACAAGTTTGAGATTTCAATTCCCGTAACCTAGCATGCATGTTCTTGTAATGTAGGAGGACGTCAGAGTACCTAAAGAAAATTGCCTGTGTTTCAATACAGAGAAGACAAAATTGAGCGGCAATTGCAAAATGGCAATCAAACAGCAGCAACACATTGCACTTCTTTAATCGGTGCTCCTGCTTATACAGACGAGATATTTATCACCATGTTTTGCTCTTGGTTTGTTTGTGTTAGCGTCCAGACTCCACAGAGCACATGCAGGAGTACTACAGGCAGCGTCTGCGTGTGCAGCAACATCTGGAACACAAGCAACAGCAGAGGCAGCTTTACCAGCAGATGTTGCTTGAAGGTGGTGTGAAACCAATCGATGGAACCCAAAACAACCTCACTGAGACCTTCCTCACTCGGTAAGGAACAGGTCTAAATCTATATCTTGACCTACAACCTCTGAATATCGGTAATTGTTTCCTTTGAGGAGCATTTTGCTAATCAATGACTTAATTTGAGCAGAAATTTTGTAATTTTGAGGAGCAATTTTTGGCAGGTTAATCCCGGGGACCTGAAGCAACAGTTTTATTGAACAATAAAAATATAATGGGGGAGTTATAGGAATGCAGCTAGTGACTATTTTAGGATTTGATTTTCCTCTTGGTGAAAATAGTATCTATAAGAGTCAAATATTCTGAGAAATTTATTTTGACTTGATGAAACAGCAATGAAAACAAAAGATAAAATAAAACAATTGACTTAATCATGAACGACCATATATTCTATCATCAGTTTGTGTTTCTTAAATTTACATTGAGAGCCAGCGTTTACGTGCTCAGGTACAGGACCCAAAATGATATTAACCAGCTATAAAATAAATATTGCAGTTGGCGATGCTTTACATTGTTACGTGAAAAAGTCCTTTTTAATCCAAGTTTGCAATTGACTGCGCAATAGACACGCGATAAGTAGAATAGCTTCTATTTGTTTGAATGACCAATGAAGTTTAACAGGACTTTTTGCACGTCCGGAAGCTGTTTGGACACGAGTGAAAAGAGCGTTGCCAAAAATGCATTAATGCTGCCCCCTAGTGGCTATGCTTTGCTGCTTTGGGTGTCACTCATTATTTAGCACTACAGTACCACATTTGATTAAGTAGTTTTTCGAAACGATTTTTTTTTGTTCATACAGAGTCATAATTACTTGCAGAATAAATTATATAATTTACTAACCATTAATATATACACTTACAGTCAATTAAAAAAAATATATTCCAAGTATGTGGATCAAAGTCACATCAGCATGACTCACATGATGTCACCCAGCATTATGGTTCCCGCACAGTATGTTTGGAGTACACAATGTCATTTAAAAATCTTTGGCAATTGTGGCTTCATATAAATCGTTTTGGACGTTTTTGAAGCGTGAGTGACATGGGTGGAAAGTATTGTATCTCTGAATGGACTCACAGTGCCTTCTGTCCAGATCCATTCAGAAACTCGAGGAGATGAACATTGGCATTGACCACCACGGAGATGAGGTGACCCCTCTGGGCCATCATTGTAATGGTATGGCAGATGACGGTAGCACATCCAACACCCAAGAAGACCCGGGGGTGGTGCAAAGAGCAAAGCCTGGTAGTGTAAGCAGCATCCCCTCCCAAAGGTCAGGGAGCCATTGCCTGCAACACATCAGCGAATCACCATTTCCTGCAAGGTAATGAATAGTGGTTTGTTCCAGAATTAATACATCAGCTCGATCTGATTTAAGTTCTAATAGGAGGCCACATGCATGTAGGACGGTACGCATTAACTTATGCGTGACACCCTCTGAGCACTTAGTCTGCAAATTAAATCATGGCCATTTGAAAGGTATGTTTTTGTGTCTTTGTATTCATGCATTGTGACTGCAGTGCTGCTGAGAGGGTTGGAGGCCCAGGGCAAGATGATTCCAGCAGCCATGTGACACGTTGCACAACCCAGCATGTACTATCAACAAAACAAAATCAGTTACAAAGAAACAAATTTCAGCATGGGGGTTATTTTTTTCTGATTTTTTTTTTTTTTATAGGAAGGAAAGGCCAAAACCCAGTTTTTCAAAGTGAGCCAGCTTGAAGACACACAGGCGGTACGATCCGTGGCCTTCCATCCGTCTGGATCGCTTTATGCTGTTGGTTCCAACTCGAAAACTCTCCGAGTTTGCGCCTACCCTGACACCGAAACAACCAGGTCTGGACTCCTCCTACCCATCAAACCGTCACATGTTGTCAGGTTTTGTGAAATTACAAAATGGATGGTGTTGAGAGGGCACAGTTCAACGCATGCATTTAGATAAATTGTTTGTACAGTTTTTAATTTGCAATTTTTCCCTGCATGTTTAGCACCTTGGATGCCGTTAGGCAGCCAGTGGTACGCTTCAGAAGGAATAAACACCACAAAGGTTCCATCTACTGTGTCGCATGGAGCCACTGTGGACAGCTGCTGGCCACCGGCTCCAATGACAAATATGTCAAGGTTCTGCCTTTCAATGCTGACAGCTGCAATGCGACAGGTGCACGATTATTAGGTGTTGAGTCAGGCAGGATCAAGATTCTATACTGAGGTGGTCTTATGATGTCATTCAGGTCCTGATCTGGAGTTCAGCATGCATGACGGAACCATCAGGGACTTGGCCTTCATGGAGGGGCCCGAGAGCGGAGGATCCATCTTGATTAGTGCTGGAGCTGGAGACTGCAACATCTACACCACCGACTGCCAGAGAGGACAGGGCCTTCACGCCTTGAGTGGGCACACTGGTATCTGAAACATTTTGCTCTGGCGTGAATTTTTTTGGAAGTCTGGTTCAACATTTAGTACAGGTCTATAAGCAACCAAGCAGTTCAGTTTAGTTTTAAATGATAAACCTGATTCGATTTGATATGGTACGGCTCAGTTCAAGAGGGGATGCTGCAGTGACTTTTTGGTTGTCATTTTACGTACATTTGAATGAACTTGTCGGGACTGTTAATGTGCCATTTCCTTCAAAGATATATCTCTCAGATACAAGACGATTCAGTACGTATCTCGATATATTTCAAAGTGGAGCCATTTCTTTGATTCAAAAATGATTTTGTGGTTCAAACCCTTTTTTGTGACACACTGATGTAGATAGATAGATAGATAGATAGATAGATAGATAGATAGATAGATAGATAGATAGATAGATAGATGAAATTGTGCTATTGGTATAAATTTGGAGCAAGCAAACAATGTCAATTGAGAAAGTGCAGACAGATAACCACAAAAGGATTATAGGACGTGCATGTATTTTTTTCACCCTTGGAAAAAGTCAGAATACACAGATTCAAATGGGAAATTGTGCTATTGGTGCAAATTTGGAGCAAGCAAACAATATCAATTGAGAAAGTGCAGACACATAACCACAAAAGGATTATAGGACGTGCATATATTTTTTTCATCCTTGGAAAAAGTCAGAATACACAGATTCAAATGGGAGAACAGTGAGAGCATACCAACTCGACACAGACAGGACACAGCTAAGATTCAGTCGGTGTTGCATAGACCTGTGTTGTGGGCAGCACCCTGCATGGCTCAGGTAAGTCTGTCGCATTCATTCATTGTAATGTGAAACTGAGGTCAAAGTGCGTCCGTTCAGTGTACATTCCGTTCTTTGCCGGTTCATTTACAGTATTGTTACTTATTATTGTGGCATTATTAAGTTTGCCCTACATACAGAGCCGTGTGTACTGAACTACTAACTATGTGGTTAAATTGTATCAGAGACCAAGATCACCTTGGAAAATGTGTTGTGGAGATTCAGAATTCATTATTTTGATGCTCACTATGCTGAAGTCGCATTAGATTTGCTATCTATCGTCACTGCAATGGATGGAACTCCAATTATTTGAATGACTTGAGAGGCATCTTTTTGCCGTAAAATGTCGGTTGACATCCAACTTCGGAGGTTCTGCTTTTTTCAGCTTCGAGAACTTGATTGTTTTTGAGGGACACATAATGAGTTGCGGCAAACGATGGATTGATGTCACAAGCTAACTGACGAACAGCAAATGTCCTATCCATCCATTTTCCGATCCGCTTATCCTCACAAGGTTCGCGGGGGGGTGC